CAATCGATCTAACAACGCGATAAAAATTCTGTAAACAGATTTGAACTCTTCTTTGTATCTTCTTGAAAACGACTTTCCCGTTTTACAAAAATCTGAATTTTTATCTGTCAATATTAAAAAAATTAAAGTTTACAAAAACTTTAAATATTTATAAATTTTAACACTCGTAATTTATACAAGCAATATACGTCAAAGCTAATAAAAGTGCAAAAATGCAGTCAATTTCTAGTTACGTCCCAATTTAAGTCTAAAATATGCAATATTAAACATATTTTATACCGTACGGAAAATAAAATCCAACCATTTCAACAATAAAAAATGATTACATGAAAAACTTTATGCCTCGTAGAATTGTCGAATTTTGTATATTTTTACTATTTGAAACTCATGAAAGAGGAAAACATAATTCAAGTCACCTTTAACTCTGATATTTTAATTAACTTATAATGCTAGAAAAATATATTTCAAAATACTAAAAAAAAAGTGATATTTATAAGTTTATTACAACTTCTGAAAATAGACATAGGTAATCACAGTATTTGTTTATAGTCTGTTAGAATTAGTTGTTGTTATCATAGGTGCAAAAAAGGGTGGGGGCTTGGGGGGGATTTAGCCCCCCCCCAATTTTCTACCAAGTCCCCTCAGTTCAAAAGTCAGTTATTAGTACTGAGCATATTATATAATTTTTAAAAAATATTATAGGAGGGGCTTTAGTCCCCCCCCAAAATAATATTACAATTTTCGCCTATGGTTGTTATAAACATGCAATGATATTTTACTCATATTGTTACATAGATGATATTATATACATTTTAAAAATGCATTTTGTAACACATGAAAACCATTTTAGTTGCACTCTAAAACTGGTAGGTAAAACTTATGCAAATAGTCTATATACGTAATATATTAGGGTTGGTTATTATATTATATTACACTACAAATAAAATAAGAATTTCCTAAGTTAAAACCAATTAAAGATACCACAAACAAACTATGTTTAATAACAATTTTTTTATTTTAATTATTTCTCATAGCAATGAAAATAAAATATTTTAATAAATAATAATATTTGTTGAAAATTAATAAATTATTATCAAACTAATAAAAAAGTAAATACCTAGGTAGTTATAAAATACAGTAGGTAATAGGTATAGATGTACAGTATAGGCATAAGGCATTGATTATAAAATAGTCTATTCTATAATCAATGGTACCTATAGGTGATTTAGAATTTACTTACTACCTATAGGCTATAATAAATGATTATATTCTAAAGCCCAACAATATTAATATTTATATAATTACAGTATTTACTTTAAGCAGTATACCTAACTGTATAAGAAGTGTTAATAGCTCTCGTGTTTTGAAAATATTATTATTGAACGCTTAGATAGTATATTATTTTTTCCATAAATGATAAATGTAAATATTATTAAATAACATACATTACCTAATTATAATTATATCATACTTTCAATAGTACCAACATTTATTATTTATTAATGAACTATTGGACTAGTTTACTTTTTTTTAAATAAGTTATAAGGTGTTCGAGGTGCCATAGCTAGTTTTAAATAAAAGTAAAACTAGTATAACCACAAAATCACTTTTAATGATTTGCCAATTAATAATAATATGCTCCCCAGCATATGATTGTTTTCGTGCTCCTGGTCTTTATGTCTCATGGATTGATAAAATAATTTGTCTACATATTATAAATTAATTTTACTCTATAATTAAAATATTTCAGTTAATTATAATTAATTTCCATATTTTATCCTTATCGAATATAATATTAATTGATACGATATAATATTATCTTTAATAAATCTATATGAACTGTAAAATAAATCAAATCGCCCATTGAGTTCTACTTCTGATCAAAATGAAGTAAATATTTAAAATATCATAATATTATGAATTAAATTACATTTTACGGAGATACTTTAAGTTGTCAACACGACAACAGTCAACATTGCCGGTAACATATCATACGATTCGTAAATGGAAATCTTTGTTAAGCATGTTCTCTGAAGCTATTCATCCGATAGTCATGCGGTTTTTTAATGATAGAATATATCACGGAGAAGGTTTTAAACCTCTTTCAACCCATAAAGGTAGCAAAAGGGTAGATCACACATTCATTTTTTTCAGCTCACGTAAAAGATATAAATTTTTTTTGTTTATTTATAGGGTTGCCAGAGGTTACTGTTGGCAGTTAATTATAATAATTTTGGCATGAGCAACGCGAGGCTGGACAGTTAGTATATTATATTATGTATAAAAGACCGACGTTTTGATGTCGTTTTTAGAATTACTCACAGTTGCATTTTTTTATAAGTACATAAATATGTTTTACAAATACAACAATTTACATAGACAATGAACATTTCCTCGACAAGTTTGACAGTAAATACAAAGGATAATTAGATTTGTGGTCGTTCAATGACGATCATTCTAATTGAATTCTTTAGCGTAGGTTTTCGTCAAAATGGTTATTTTGATAATCATAAAATATGAATAAATTACGTCATTCAACTTTTTCTGAAACTTTCAACTGTTATTATTTTTTTTTAATTGGGAAACGAATAACGATTTTGATAGTTACAATAAAAAATGTAAAATAAAATAAAAATAAAATGCATAAAACATCTATGCTGTCCAAAAAAAAATACGATGTTGGTTATTTTATAGTTTTAAAAGTCACTCGATTCGAATTATTTGCGTGCAATAAATTATATTATAATTTATCATTGTAGTTATAAAATCGATATTATCTAACAAATACGTGTAGATCGGTGTCGTAAATCCGGATAAGTTTGGAAAACTATCTTGGCAACGTCATCTGCGTTGGGTCGCTAATGTCGGTGCTTATCGTTCGTTATCAAATGTTGGGCATTCACCGTTTGGAACCAACATTGAAAAGGATTACGCGGGACTTTAAAAACGACCATAACTTACTATCGAGTGAACGTTATGGTTGGTTCATAGTTGCTGTTTCCAAAACTAACGCACTTACGAAGGGTGTCGCAATGAATGTTATAACATTATTATTTACACAATTACACCTTTGTATTTTGTACCACTGTACAAAATACTCTACTAAAACAGAATAATTTTAAAATTTATTTAAAAAATACATTTATCACACCGCTGAGAATCTAAAATACAAAACAATGATCGTGTCTCGTATAAACAATATAAACAAAATAAGGTTAAAAAAGATAGAAAATTAATAATAACAACCAAATTCAAAGGTGAAGGTAACGAATCTTGTTTACTGTATTTATTTCCCCTAGTGCTTTACCGCCGTCCGAAGTGTGGTCATAGTTGAGCAGCGGCGTAGATACAATTTTTTTCTGGGGGGGGTTAAAATATATTTATGATCAAATTTACAAGTTATTAGTTAAACTAACCGTCATTTTTATTTTTATTTTTTTATTTTTATTTTTATTATAATAGGAAATTCATGGTGTCCATATATTATTTATAACTGTATGAATTTCACTATGAGATAACACACGGTTAACAAAATATATTATGTCATTAATTCTTATATCAACTGAAGTAAAAGATGAAGAAGGTATACAGGTTTCAGGAGTCTTAATATTACTTTTAGGTGCTAAAGAATTTACTATGGTAGAATTTTTAGGTTTCGATTTCTAAAATACAAAATTAATATTTTGATCAATTGTTTGTATTCGTTAAGGAATAAGGAATATTATAAAATTTTAAAATATACAAATATACTTTAATAGAAGCTAGTATTATGTACTATAAAATAAACATTAAATACTAGACAGTAACATCAATAAAAATAAATAATAAATACTAAAACTGTTAAATACGCAACAATTGAATTATTATTTTATTAGAATAAATAAAATAATAATGTTTTCAGAGTTTAAGCTATGCGTAATTTATTATATTAGGGTATTAAACTATTAACATTGTATAAAAATAATGCAATATTGTTTAATATGCTTACCTAGTTACCTTTATAACAAATTTATCCATAATTGATACTTGATACGCGTACTAATGTTTCAAACTCTAACAATCAAATGAAATATTATGTCGGTCGACAGATCGTAATATTATCGACCGGCGTCGGAGTGATGAACGTCGGAGGCCGTTATCGTTGTTTTCGTCGATTTTATAATTGGTTTTCTTAAAATAGAAGTGTAAACACTCGGATAATTTCTACAACCAGGGATATTATTATAAATAGTAATAATAATATACATGTTAATTTGTACTAGTATTATTTAGTATAACTATTATTTAAAATTATAACCAATATAAACATTTTGTTTTGATGATAGGGGGGGTGGAAACCCCTTACACCCCCACCCCCGTAACTACGCCACTGTAGTTGAGTGGATGTTCCAGATTTATACGAATATACGATTAATACTTTTTAAAATTCAAACAGAAAATTAAAATCGTTTGATGAGAATAATAATCCTATTGTAAACATTAAATTTGATGAAAATGTCAAGTATCGAAAATTCAAAATCGACTATATCACAAACTGTTTTTGCTTAAAAATCATTGTTGTTTCCAATTTTATTATTAAAAAAGTTGTGGGAATTTTTTACTTTTGACCCACCAACTTCCAAGTAATAACTAGCTAATACTCGCTAAACCTCGCTATTAGAAAAGCAATTGAAGTTTGAAACCAAAGCATTTCTAAAGGTTTTGAAGACCGACACAAAAATAAACAAATAAAAAACACATATTATTATTATGTTATATAACGCTAAGAATCTCAGCACAGAGAGCGCATCGACGGATCGGGTCACCGCGCCGCCGACCACGGGACGCGCTTGTAAACGCGAGTAATCTGTTGTAGCTGTACACCACCAAAGCCGGTGACCGCGGTCGCATTTACGATTTCCATTGAACAGGGCCGCAGCACGATTATCGTCGACGCGGGCCGTGCGGTTTTTTCCGACCGCGAACAAAGCGCGTTCGCGTTTCCAATGTACCAGGGCAGTATGAAGCTGGGTCGCCTGGGAGCCGCGACGCCGTTGCAGTCGGCCCCGTGGCGCGTGCGCCACTCGATTTATGCTGACTCCGGTCGACTCCCGCACCAGGACACCATCGGGTCAACCATCTGGTATTGCCGTATTGACGATACGATGAATTTGTGTCGGCGGCTAATGCGTGGGTGGACGTCCGAGAACAATGAAAGCGGCCCGTTCTGCGTCCAGTGGTACCAGGACCGCATACGTACTCGCGCGTTGGTCGCTGATGCCACGGCCGTCGCTGTTCGGCATTATTTTCGTTACGATCGGTTACGTACGTCGCGGACGAACAGCGCTCGCGGGCATGGCGTGGATGTACACTATCACTACACGTTCCCTAAAAGTGGTTCACTTATAATAGTGTTATAGAACTAATAATTACAGACCGGAATTGTATGTTTTTACATTGATTTATTCAGATTATGCTCCTATAATTGAGAAAAGTACTATAATATAGTACAGTGTTGGATATATTATGTTTTAAGAATCAAGAATGTTTTTGTATTTTTGGACACCACTTGGACGATAAACATTATTATTTTTTTATATTATTAATATTAAGATACGTAGAATATGAAATTCTAATTTTCTAATTTATTGTATTTATTTATTTTTGATAAAATGTTAAATAATAATGATTATTGATCTAGTCACTGTCACATAAATACATAATATACTTGTCTTAAGAGACGAGAGTAACTTTAATTATTTACGAGTTATTATCTTTAATTATTAATTTAATATTGTGGAATGGTCTTCTCATATTATTTCGTCGACATGCTTTTTGGACATAATTCGAATCTAATAGGTAGGTACTGTATATGTATTGTCTGTTTTTGTTAAACGATATAATTTAGATTAACAATTGATATAATAAAAACTAGTATGTAATATTATTAAAAAATAATTATTAGATACCTATACGTGTTCATATACGTATTCATTATTAAAAGTAAGTGCCTATAATATTATAATAATTGTAAATTAAAAATTGTATTACCCACGAAGGTTTATTTTGAATCGTTTATTCGTTCATTGTCAAATGAATGTTATTAAACAGGCACAGTACCATGATAAACGAACAGCGAATGCAGATATTTAATAGGAGTCAGGAGAGGAAATTAAGATTTTCGTTAACAAATTAGTTCTCATAGTCAAATCATCAATGGAAAATAAAGCAATAATTATAATATAATAAATTATAAATATTATAATTTCAATAAAATACTATTTCTGTATAATACTTTTCCTAAATTATGGAAATATCTAAAAATTTTAATTTTAATTATTATCAAAATATTATATTTATCAATTCCTGAGGTATGCTGATGGTATTCTTGTATAAGTTAGTGAAGGTTCAATTTAAAGCTTTGTAATTAGTCATACTCATAAGATACAAAGTGACCATAGTTTTACTAGTTTAATTATTTAATAAATAATCTACCTACCATCGTGTTCCTTGTTATTATTATTTCATTATACATATTTAAATCTACTTTGAGTTGTTAATAAAAATAATAAATTATGAGAAACGTGTTAGACAGTGCACTCTAGTGGTCAATTTACTTAATGTGTTTTAGTTTATCAAAAATAATAAAAATAAATAAGAAATGTAATACCATTATTGTTTAAAAAAAATACTAGTACCTATTTATAATTAATATTAGTGGGTATAAAATATAAAATACTTGTATTTATAATCAATGAGTATATGAAATACTATATTCCTTAATCAAATACAAGAAATAGTGTAACTCGATAATTATTAATTGTAATTTTAATACAATTTTAACTCTAAAACGTTATATTTTTTTATATTATGTGAAGTTCTCACATATTTAAAAACTAAAATAGTATAATTATAGTATTGCTTGTCCCAGTATTGTGAATAATACTTAAAAAAGGTGGGTAAGTGGATGTCGCTCTGCTGTACAGTAGGTTACAAGTGGGTCACTGTATAATGGATGCTATTAAATTTGAATTCAATGATATAATATCATTGTATAAGAAAAACGATTCTGAGCGAAGACGGTATGTCAGTCTAGGTTTAAGATAAATTATATACAAATCTATGGTATTAAAAAAAAATTGACCTATAATAAATTCCAAATTAATCATATCACATTATCACAATATCCATTAGGTACTTATAACACGTTATACATCAACATCAATAACAAACCCTGATACTATCATCGATATATAATAATACACTTTAGAAGTTTCAAGTAGGTACCCCGTACCCACGAATAATATTATATAATCACAACAAAATAACTAGGTTTTTTAATATGAAATTTCGTCCAAATTTGAACATAAAATGACTATCAAAATAAACTGTGATTGTATATTTTTTAGATTTTTCGGTAAGATAATTAACTACTTACGTGGAATCTTGTTTTAAATTTTCAATCCTTAGCTATAAAAACTGAACATTTTATAACTTATTAATTACGATGATTAATAAATTTCGAGATTTTGAAAAATTCTGTCAAAATTCGATGTTTAAATGCTTATAAAAAAAAATTGTGCCTATGTATTTTTAATATTTTTCAACTGATATTGTAACAATATATCAGGAGCCTTGTATTATATTTTTACACTTTTTGGCCCAACAGATAAAACTTAATTGATATTTATAGAAAAAAAAAACTAAAAAAATTGAAAACTGAAAATGTCCGTAAACGGCTCAAAAAGAGTCAAAATATTTTCAAAATTGTATGGTGTATAGGAAATGCTAATATAAACATTCATTGAAATTTTCATGTATCTACAGTAATTCGTTTTTTAATTACAACAAAAAAAGGAAATTGCCACATGAGAAATCGAGTGAATATCCAATGTTGTAAAAATTTGAATTTCAAACGCTCATAAAAATTTAATTTGACTTTCCGGTAGAGATTTTTTTATTGATAAAGGTAGACAATCTTATGAGTAATCTTGTATTAGATTTTCAAATCTTAGATTTAAAAAGAAAAATTTTTACGAATTCTTAACTCAAAATAATTTGCTAATTTTCGTGATTTTTCCATATTTTGTCAATTTTTGAACTTTAAATGCTTATAAAAAAAAATTGTGACTAAGGATTTTTAATATTTTTCATCTGCCTTTGAAACAATATATTAGGAGCCTTCTATTAAATTTTCAAGCTTTCGCAACCAACAAATAAAATTTTATTGATATTTCTAGAAAAAAAACTAAAAAAAAAACTAAAAATTAAAATGTCCCTAAACTGTTCAAAATAAATCAAAATATTTTGAAAATGTTATCGTGTATAGAAGATGCAAATATAAACAACCAGTGAAAATTGCATGTACCTACGGTCATTTGTTTTAAAGTTACACCAAAAACCAAATTCAATTTTCTGAAAAATCGATTTTGCGTAAAAATTCCCGTTTTTCCTTAATTTTTCTTTTGTTTTTCTTGGCGCTTTTGAAAAGTACTGGGAATTTTAAATTTTGACCTCCCCAATGCAACAACGATATTCACTTTCCAATCGAACAAGATACTGAAGTCGAAAATCGAAGCATTATTTCGACTACTTATCGTGTACACAGATACAAAAAAAATAAAAAAAAAAATAAATAAACACACATCATTGTAAAATCAATACATTCATCGTTCCACTCAGAATCTAAAATAATTGATATGACTACTTATATGATTATTTACTTTAATTAATAATAACTACATATGGCTACACACTACACAGTTTAATAAAACCATTGATTTTATATATTTATTTTATTCTGAAGTTTATAAAAATATTTTAACTTAGTCCATGATTATACCCATACATGATAATTTTTTTTTCTTTGTACTCTTGTATTGTTATATGTTTATGTATAAATATAATATGTACCATATTATATTATATCTATTATACTGATATGTGTATTGTTTTTAGTGTTTTCCATTCAAGCACCCAAACAGAAATAACTGATTTACACATTATGCAACTAGTAACTACGTATTTGTTAGGCATTTTTTTTTCAATTTTTAAGGAAATGGTTTTCTTTTTAACAACCATTACAAAATACTGGCTTTTAACAAACTTGTGTTATTATTTTTTTAGCTTCAGTATTGGAGTTAATTAACCATCATCATAGTTAAAGTTAAGAACATTATTTGAGTTGGGTTTTTTTACGATATTTAAATTTTCATTGGAGCTATGAGTTAGTAAAATCATTGATTATAAATAATATAAATATTATAAATACTATCTATACTTACCCTCCATCAGAAATAATTTCAGTGCACTGCACTATAGTCTATAATAATACTATAATATAGTGCAACGTATTTTGTACCGTAGTGAGTTATCTCACTAAAAATTTTCAGCCATGTCCAACAACACGATATCGTGGTTAATCTTGTGATAACTCAACCTAACCAACCAAACACAGTAAAGTATTTGTGTTCACGTACGTGTAGTAGAAACCCGCCTTTATACAGTAATACTAAAAAGTAAAAGCCAAAAACATAATATTATTATGGTCGCTTCTGCTGAACGGAAATTTGTTATGTTTCACGTGATTCAGAGAGAGAAAACCAATAGTACGCCGTCGGATAACAGAAGAAGCAAAACACGTGAAAAAAAAAAGCAGTATTACAGCAGCAGTCAAGGAGTAGTCTCGTCCGTCGACCGGTAACCGATCGGCGTAAAGCGTATACCGTCATTATGGTATCCTGTTGTGCATGGTTTTCGCCGGTCGAGTTTCCCCCGCAAACGGTATCCGAACGGACGCGGCCCGACGCCGGCGCTCGTTTACTGAGTCCCTGGTACCCAGAAATCAAAGCCGTGCAATAACAAGCAAGAACCCAATCGAACACATATTTTTCTATATTATTGATGTCAATAACATTGATGTCCACGCTCGCCGAAATCGAATACCCAACCGGAACACGGAACAACTTGATTCCCGCTCCTCTGGTCATTAATGCGTTATTATTATTTTCGACGCCGCCGGTGCGCTACCTCTCTCGGCCGACCGAAACCTGATCTGCCAGTGATCACGATATCAATCTTATTTTTACCCAATGTATTGGACTAATTTAATGTTTTTTAGAAATGTGATTACAATTTATCTTCATTGATATTGTGGCGAGTGATTCTTCCAAGAAACATACCTAATATAAAATATACTTTAAATGATTATCTATAATTTATAAATCAATAAATAACCTACCTGCGGCATTATTGTCTAAAGTAGCAAAATAAAATAATCATTTTTAAAATATGCATGTTATTTTAAAATTCTTAAAAGTGCTGTTAAAATGTCTTTGAGAACATCAATAATAATTTCGAAGTTTGATAGTGAATAAAATTAATCAACTGACAGTAAATTGTTGACATTGTTGTTAAGGGG